GTCTCAGTAGTGATATTGAACATTTTTTTCATTGTGCTTTTTGATCATTTGTATGTCTTCCTAGGAGAGTTGCTTGTTTAGGTCTTTCTGCCCTATTTTTTGGATTTGGGTTGTTTATTTTTTTCTTATTGAGTTGTATAAGCTGCTTATATATTTTGGAGATCAAGCCTTTGTCGGTTTCACTTGCAAAAATTTTTCTCCCATTCCGTAGGTTTTCTTCTTGTTTTATTTCTGGTTTCCTTTGCTGTGCAGAAGCTTGTAAGTTTAATTAGGTCCCATTTGTTTATTCTTGCTTTTATTTCTTCTAGGAGAACCTTCTGCACTTCTTGATCAAGGAATAGTTTCTGCTCTGCTATATTGAACCTGGTCTTGTTTAACTGACGTTTGTGATTGAGGGCAAAGGACCTACTGAGGGGTCCCCAACCCTTAGGGGATCAGTGACAGTGGGTTACCTCTTCATAAGGAAGGGTGTGTTGCTGAAAAGCTGTGAGAGGCTGCAGCTGCGGCTTTGTGCCCCATCCTGAGCTGGCAGTGCTGGGCGGTGAGCAATGGCCAAGGCCAAGGCTACACTATGATGACTGTGACAGCAGCCTGAGGGCTTCTGAAGACACAACACCGCAGCACAGACTAGACAGTGCAAATCCAAACACTGACCAGTTTATAAGTAAGCCAGTGGTGAAAGCATCAGGTAGGACTTCATAGTTTTCTCACAGCTTTCACGTGTCATTTTATTGAGATCTTCCATCTAGCATAACTGTTAAGAGCACAGACTTCAGTGCCAGCCCACTTAGGTTCACATCCCAGCTTATAAGGTGTGTAATATTGGGCAAGGTACTTCATCTCTTTTTGCCTCAGTTTTCTCATCTGTGAAACAGGGATATTAATAGTACCCACCTCAGAGAGGTGTTGTAAGCATTAAACAAGAACAGTGTCTGGACAAAACATAAGGGCTATAAAAGTTTATCATTATTGCCACTCTGTGAAGTAGGCCAGCCTGGAATCAGCTCCCCCTCACTGTAAACATTATACTTTTGCAATTTACTTGCTCATGATGACAGAGCTGGTTTTTAAAAACACCTTTTTTTTTGGGTGCACACTGTCATTTTTGAGATGGAGTGACAGGGCAAGAATAAATGGGCTTATTTGGATCATGAAGGTGCTGAGAGTTAAACTGGGCAGATTCTGCTACCGAAAGAGATTTGAGTCTCGGTGAGGAAAGTCACTTTCTGACCATGTAACTTGCCTGGCATTGAGCAGTGCTCCCTTGCATGAAGCAGACTTTGCCCTCTCTACCCAGAAACAGGAAAGTGGACAGGCAGAGCGTACCTCTCTTAGGGAGCAGGGGGTGCACGGGGCCCCGGCAGCCCTGCCATTCCCGCCCAGTGTTGAACAGTGCGTCCCGCTCGCTCTGCAGCATGTTCTGCATCTTCCTCTCCTGGACTATTAACTTCAGGCGCTTTATCCGTTCCCCGGAGCGGGAGATGAAGTCAGGTCTGTGAAGGTGAAGTGATTCCTGAGGAGAAAAAGTCCCCAAGTTCATGTTAATGGTGCAGTCTTTTCTCCAAGGGCCCAGAAAACAGTGCCTGTCTAACAGGTTTGGAAAGCCTGTTTGCAAAGTACGGAAGATATCTAGAGTTGAAGAATGGTCAGACAACTCCCTGCGGGGGAGAGCTCCAGCAGGAAAATCAGAGGGATCAAAGAACTGACTTTGGAATAAGTCAAGAACCAAGACTGTGGCAATTACAAGTCTCCCCAGTGTTGATGGGACAGAGCTCGGCCCACTGTGCTGTTTTAAATTTCCCTTCAAACAAATACATCATTAAATAACAATTCCTTTAGCTCCCTGGGTACTTGTAAAGAAGAGGCTTGGTGCCTTTAAAACTTCATGTTAAGCAGAAATAGGAGTCATGTAAACAGGGGAACAGATACAAGGCTGACACAAACATCAGGCCTCTACTGCACTCCACGTGCAGGTTTCTATCTACAAACCCAGTGAGCAGCTACACAACACCCATCCCTGCCTTGTCGCCAGATACTGAGGGCGACGCACTGCTCGTGATGGCTAACAGTAAGGCAGCCTTTGATCAATGAGTGTGGACACAGATGAGCTGTGGAGGTGCTAGAAACAGGGCTCACAGGACCGCACTTCAGAAGGCCAAGTCACAGATTTAACTTTTCTGTATCTTGCCCTTTCTTCCTCCTTAAGCATATGGCTAAAATTAACTCAGTGTCACTGCACCTGCAGGGTCACTCTCACAAATGGCTTCGGTGGCTCTCTGCCCAGGCCTGCTAGTGAGCTGGGGCTGTCCATGGGCTGTCCCTGCCAGTTCTGCTCCCGTAGTGGCTCCCTCCAGGGTTTGGTACTGGTGATGGGTGCAAACCAGGCGACACCAGGGCCGTGAAGCATGGGCAGGTTTTCCTTCTTAGGAACAGACTTCACATTTTCCACAGGAACAAACCATGAAACTCCTACAGGAAATATTTTTAAGAAAGAAAAAAGATTTTTCATTTTTCTCATCAGAGACATGTGCATAATAATACAGTCTCTCAGGGACCCTGCTCTCAAGAGGTCACCAGCATGCCCCGAAGTCTGCTTAACTACAGGTATGACTCCGTAATTGTAGGGCTGGATACAGTCAGCCCCCTGCATCTGTGCATGTGGAACCCTTGGATTCAGAGGGCAGTCTGTACTATGCCACTTTACATAAAGGACTTGAGCATTCATGGATTTTGGCATCCACGAGGGGTCCTGGAACCAATCCCCTGCAGATGTGCAGGGATGACCATACTTTAAAAATTTGCCAAGATGGTGCTGGGGGACGATGGGGTCTATACTGAGTCATTTAGAAACAAAGAACCTTAGCATTGCAAGAGACTTGAAATTCACTAGTTTTTCTGCTAGGAAAGTGAGAATCATAAACTGACCTTCACAGCAACTCTGCTTGTTCTTCCTTAACTTTTT